GGCATAATATAGTGAGAATTTACACGGGTTGAGGTAAGTAACACTTCTAAAGTTGGTTCTGAGGGTATGAATCCCCGAATTGGTGTTATATAAATTGTTTAGAGGTAACACATATGATAGTTGACGAGCGTATGGACGTGCACCATATAAATTGACTTGAATAAATCTTGTGAAGTTGCAAAGTTAAAGAATCATGTTATTATCTGAACATGCCACACGTGTTAGAGGAATTGAGCTGAGGCTCATAATAAAGATCATTTTTAGGCTATGTGCCGATATTTTGGGACCCATAGGGTCGTGTTGCTATTGAATTAATTATTTTAAAATGTATATTTCATACTCAGTCATGCTCATCCATTGTGAGGATATTTATTGAATCGAGATTGCCCCCCTGCAGTAGGCCATTTCGACTTTATATATTATTATTATTATTATTATTATTATTATTATTATTATTATTATTATTATTATAGGATCGGGCTGCACGCCGCAGCAGGCCTTATAGGCTTTATTACTATATTGATCGGGGCTGCCTGCTTGCATCAGGTCTTATGGGTTTAATTATTATTATGGGACCGGATTGTAGCCGCAGTAGGCCATATCGGCTTTATATAGCGCTTGGGCTGAAGGAGCCGCTCCAGAGTCTGCACACACCCCTAGTAAGCGCGGTTGATTTATAGCGCTTGGGAGCCCCTCCGGAGTGTGCACATACCCCCAGTGAAAGCGGTTGATTTATATTGAGGGATGGATCTTCCCTAGGCATGGATCTTGCCCGAAGCATTTATATTGAAGGATGGATCTTCCCTAGGCATGGATCTTGCCCGAAGCATTTATATTGAAGGATGGATCTTCCCTGGAATATGGATCTTGCCCGAAATATTTATATTGAGGGATGGATCTTTCCTGGACATGGATCTTGTCCGAATCATTGATATTTGGGGATGGATCTTCCCCTGGGCTGGATTGGCCTTATACAGTACTAGGTGACTGACTGTCAGTTGATAGATATACATATATATTTGGGACGGATCTTCCCTGGGTTGGATTGGCCATATACAGTACTGAGTAATTGAGTATTTTAGATTGTGAGTACATGGAGTTTTCACTAAGGTGCATCACATACAGTATGTACATTGGCATGTAGATACAGAGATGTCATATTCCTTGTATTGTTCGGAATTGATCTGTTTTATTTTTACTGAAAGCAACTGTTGAACTTGAAAGCATGCCTACATTTATGTATTGTTATTATTTATACTAGACTGTACCTGCGGAGTTCGTCACTACTTTCAGCCCAAAGGTTAGTTTTGTTACTTATTGAGTTAGTTGTACTCGTACTACACTCTGTACCTCGTGTGCAGATCCAGGTGCTTTCGGGCACGGCGACCATTAGATCTCAGAGTTCTATCAGTTGGAGACTATCAAGGTAGCTGTCTGGAGTCCGTTGACCTTGACTCCCCTTCTTTCAGTTATTGTACTGTTCTATACTTTCAGGTAGTGTTTTGTCAATCAGACTTTGTATTCATATTAGATGCTCATGTACTCAGTGATACCGGGTTCTGGGAGTGTTTATATATGTAATTATGAGATTTCTTCCGCTGAATTTAAATATTATGTTTTCAAACTTAAAAGATATGGTATTTTATTGAGATTGTCGGCTTGTCTAGTATTGAGATAGGCGTCATCACGATAGGTGAGATTTTGGGTCGTGACACTTTAATTTTGAATTTCTATAATTTAGTTTACTTCGTGGGCATTTGGACATAAGAATTGTATAATTCCAAAAAAAAAGTGAAAAAAAATTTCAAGTGAAAATGGTATTTGAAAATTAGAGTTGTGTTTGGACATGAATGTAATTTTGGGTTGTTTTTGATGTTTTGTGAGTAATCAGAGTGAAAATTTTGAAAAATAACTTTTTGGAGCTTTTTAAAATTTCGAAAAATTCCAAAATGTATTTTCAAGTGAAAACTAGAAATTTTATGAACAAATGCTGATTTCGAAAAAAAAAGTAAATTTTTTTTCCAAAAAAAGAAAAAAATTCTTATGTCTAGACAGGCTCTTCATTAGCATACCGTATAAAAAATGACGAATATGCACAAAAAATACTACTTTAAAGCTAATTTGATGAAAGTTGGATTAATTATTGATTTCCTTAAAAAGAATTTGAAAGTTGACTATTTAAAGATTCTACATTGTAAATTGTGCACTAAATAAAACTTAAACATGAAATCATGCTAATTTATACCTACCGTGGGATTTCATAAACACATTAATTATCTACTAAATAAGATCAAGATTCATCATTCTTAGAAAATTATAATTTTTATTTTATATAGTTCGAACACATTTTTTTTTTATTATTTATATGATTTGTAAAACTTTTTACTCATTCTGAATACACGCGTAATGTACGTGCCTATGAAGTGGATCCGTAGAGAAAAATGAATATAGAAGATCCATATAATGAATCGTTGATCGATTGCTTGATGAGCTTATATAAATGGATTATAAATCAGTAATATGCATAAGCATCACAACTAGAAGAAACAGTAGGGGAAATCTGTAGATTTACCAGGTAAATTAAATTTTTTTCTCCTATATTATATGAAATTGTTACTCTATTGTTTGCTAATTTTTATTAAGCAACACTCTCCACTGTTATTAAACATTTTTTTTTTTTGCTATGATGAATAGAAAATTAAGTTATTTTCTATTTGACTCCATACTTAAAGCTTTATTTACAAAGCTGTTATGCGCCTATAGACCATTGTTTAACAAATTCCATGTTTAGCATCTTGTTCACTACTTATATGTTAAAATATGCCTGAGTTTGCCTTAGTGTTTTCTTTCTATGATCGGCTGCACAGAATTGTGTTTTAATCCAATAAATTCCATACATTAAGTTTATTCTGCGTAAAATATCATGCTTAAAGTTCATTTTTTTTGGAGTTTTTATTTATTGGGTTCTTTTAAATTTGATTATGTGAGACATGTGTTTACTTCTTAGTTTTTGCCTTTTAAATTTGATTATGTGAGACATGTGTTTACTTCTTAGTTTTTGCCTTTTAAATTTGATTATGTGAGACATGTGTTTACTTCTTAGTTTTTGCTATAACTATTAGTTCAATTCTCTTTTACTAATCACAAGGCAATGACCAAAGGCCTTAGCCGTCCATTTGTGTTTGTAGGTAATTTTCTATTTCTTGTCAAAGTAACGGTTGATTTATCTCCTGATTTGGGAAGCGTGGGTCATAACTTTTCATGATTCTCAATCGGATGTTTTCAAGAGATGCTTTCTTCAAAATCAAAAGCTCTCACCGTTTCATTAGGACTTTAAGAAGCATATCCATTTGCGTTTTTTAAGTAGGGAATTAGAAAAAAGAGTAGGATAATTAGATTTAAAGGACATTTTGGTAGGACGCTTGTAAAACCTATAATGTGATTTAATATAAAAGAATATACCACATAACATATTTCCTTTTGTTTAAAAGATTTTAGAGCAATGTTCTAATAAGACAATGCAAGAATTTTAATTTAGGAGCCTTGATAATAATTGTACTAATTGAAATTAGTTATTTTTAATCATATATAGTCTCAGTACTTTTTAACGAAATCTTTAACATATTTCATTTATTTATATCAAGTCCTTTTTTGGTGAATAGGAAGCATAGCAAATCAGTTTTTTCTAACTGTTATGTTTTATTATTTTGTATGGGTGTCAAATTTTTTATTTTCTATTAAGGCTTAATTTTGTGTTACAATCGTTTTAACAGGTTACTTCGCAAAATCGAAAACAATTATACACTCAATAATTACTTTTAAAAAAAAAAAAAGATATACAGTTATACATATACCTAGGGGTGTATAAAGAAATCTGATAAACCGCACCAAACCGATAGTCCGAGTCAAATCGAAAACAAAACCCGATGTGGTTTGATTTGGTATTAGAAAATAAAACCCGACCATAATTGGTTTGGTTTAGTTTTAACTAAAAAAAGTCAAACCGAAATCAAACCAACCCGATAGTACATTTATATAATTTTTANGCAAAAAAAATCCAATTCAATACTAGGAATGACGATAGTGTTGGACAATTATTTTAGTTTTATATTGGTTTATAATGAAAATGCATAACTTAGTTTATCTTTTTCTTTAGTGCTTAGTTATGTAATTAATATTAGTACTTATTAGCTATACTTATTTTAGCATGACCTATATAGTATTTTTAGATTATGTTAATTTTTATTATGGCTTATTAATTAGCAATATATTTTTTATGTAATTTTATTATTTTATCTTTGTTATTAAATATTTTAGTATAATGCTATGAATTATCTCATATTATTGTGTTAGTTTTTTGGAAAACACATTATATAGTTTTATTTTACTAGGACTTAAGAAATATTTGGAGCACAAGTTACATATTTTATGCTATGGAGACTTTACCGGAAAAAATCCGAAAAAACCCGAGAAAAATCTAGATTGAAAAATTCGATTTTGTTGGTTTGGTTTGGTTTATAAATTTAAAAATCCGACACCATTGGTTTGGTTTGATAATTGAAAAATCCAACTCAATCCGACCTATGTACACCCCTACATGTACCAGTTGAAATTGTCCGCTTTTCAAATCAAACCACAATAATTAATAATATGTTTGTACATTTTAAATTGCAAAAATTAGATAGGAAAAAATTATTTGTTTTACTTGTATGGGACTCATGTGTAACGCACGTGTCCAGAAACTAATTAACATCACGAGGTAGAAGTCTATGATATGTAGCATTAATATATACATTTATTCATCCTAAGCTTCCAAGGTAGATATACATGGAGTCTTTTATTTATTTGGCATCTCATGGCATCTCATGATATTAGTGACCTTAAAAATTAGGCAGATTACCTGCTAAACCATATTAAAATAATATAATTTGTTACGCTATTAGTACATAAGTTAAGCAAAATGTGAAAAAAGTAAGAAAAAAGAACAACAGCAAAAGAGATATTAACATGACGAAGTAGTACCTGATGCAGTATGATTATGTAACACTCCTTCCAAGGAAAAGATACATCATACACATGAGTATTTTATTTATTTGGCATCTCATGATATTAATACCGTTACATCCAAAAGATAGGCATAGAAACATAATACTAAAATGAATTAGGGTTGGAAATAAATAAGACCCAAGTCATCCATATATTGCTTGGATCCATCCATCAAAGAATACAAAACTCCATCTGATTAAGAGCTCCATCCCCATCCAAATCTCCTTCAGCTAACATACAAATTAACTCATCATCTCTAAGATCATGCAAACCAAGCAATATAGTGTTTCTTTTCAAACTCTCATAAGTTATAAGCCCTATACTTACATCCATTAGCAAGCAAAAACCATTGCAAAGCTCCCTCATAAAACCTTCAGCTCCAAGTCTTTCCATCATTGAAGGAAAATAATCTTCGAAACCGAAAGGGTTTTCTTCATGAGCAGCAGCAACCATTTTTGCCATAATAAAAAGAAGAAATTTAAAGATCGAAATTACTAAGGAGTACGGTGGGATGAATGCGTTTTTGGGTAACTTAAAAGGCAAGGGCACGGGTTGATGTATATATATAAGAAAGAGAGAGAGAAAGAAAGGAATATGTAAAACTTGTAAAATTGTTGGCTTGTAAAATTCTCCTTCCTGGAAGCTGCATGAGATAAAGAGCAATCATTTGAAAGGCACACTTGTGAAAAAGAAGCTCGTTTTAGTGGTATTTACGATGAAACCCACACTAGTTGTTGAATATGCTTTCTTTCGAATGATAACGATGTGTGTATTTAGGGTACACTATGTGTAGTAATGGATGGCATTCATTGATTAATGCTTCTGTTCTAATTCTAGGGCAATTTCTTCTGTCCACTTTGATACTCCAACCCTAAATCTGAACCAACAATTATATCGAAATTAAATGTGCTATTGTTTTATCTAAAAATTTAAGTCATTAGAAAAAATAATACTTTTATTATATGTCTGACTTCAACATGCCCTCTTACGTACTTTGGAAAGATACGAAAAAGAACGGTATAACAGATTCAGCCTTGAAAAACATGAATGGAGAATAAAAAATTGGAGGCTTGAAATGTTATGTGTTTGTCTTAATTTTCTTATCATATTTGATTTTTCTATCTCTTAAGGGGCATCATATTTACCATAATTGAGTTTTTCTTTTCTTAGAAGAATAAATCTCACATATTTGGCTAGTCCTTTTTCTTGGAGGAAAATGTTTTGACTTCTATAAATTAAGGATCCTTCCTTCTCATTCAGTAGCATCTATAATGTAGTCATATGCCGTTTGAGAGTCTTGTTTAGGGGGAGAATTTCGGGACAAGTATTAGGCTGCTACTAGCTAGTATTTGCCTCTCGGTGAGGTTGTGCTCTCGATATTTTGTACTTCCTTTTATATAATGGATTGTTGATCTCTGCCTATGGATGTAGGTCAATTGACCGAACCGTGTTAAATATTTGTGCTCTTGGTATATTTTCTCTTTTGTTGTCTGATTTATCATCGTTCAAGGTCTGCTTTACTAGTTTCCGCATGACATATAATTATTTCGATCCTAACATCAAACACGTGCGAAACACTGTCCGAAAAGTGATATTTGATCCTCTCCTTTACGAGACCGCTATGGGATTGTGTGCAAATAGCTTTAGTGTATATGACAAGCCTTTCAAAATTATGCACTAAGCAATTAGTGAAGAAATTATTCTTAGAAAAGCAAGAAGTATTTCTCTAATTTTGGAATGCATAAATTTGTGGAAGAATAAATATTTTATGTGAGAGAAGACATGACTGAAAAAATTATTAGATTTTGTTTAAAGGTTGATGACCTTTTATGAATTTGATGTTTTGAGAGAAACATAATATATTTTGTGCATTAAGACTGACTTATGAAAAGGCTCTTGAAATATTCAAAATGTAGGGATGTTTGGCTTATGATCAAAAGCCAACATTAGACTTAGTATAAATAAACTTTGAGGAACTTGTGATATCAATTCATTTAAATTTAATTTTCACTTCTTCTACTGTAACGATCCGGTCGTTCGTTTTGAGTATTACAACCATGTTTTCACACTTACTGCGCGATTTATGCTTTACGATTGTTATCTGACTCACCGGGGTGATTGGTTCGGGTCCGGTGAGGTTTTGGAATGAATTGGAATACTTAGTTCCAAAGTTTAAAGCTTAAGTTAAAATAGTGATCGGATATCGACTTATGTGTAAACAATGCCGGAATGGAGTTTTGATGATTTCACTAGCTCTGTATGGTAATTTTAGACTTAGGAGCGTGTTCGGAAAATTATTTCGAAGTCCGTAGTGGAATTTGGCTTGAAATGACGAAAATTGAATTTTGGGAAGTTTGACCGGGGAGTTGACTTTTTGATATCGGGGTCGGAATCCAATTCTAAAAATTTTTATAGCTCCGTTATATTATTTATGACTTGTGTGCAAAATTTGAGGTCAATCGGACGTGATTTGATAGGTTCCGACGTCATTTGTAGAAATTGGAAGTTTCAAAGTTCATTAGGCTTGAATTGGAGTATGATTCGTGATTTTAGCATTGTTTGACGTGATTTGAAGTTTTGACTAAGTTCGTATGATGTTTTAGAACTTGTTGGTATGATTTGACGGGTCCCGAGGGGTTTGGGTATATTTTTAGATCATTGGTTGAGAGACTAGTAAAGTTAAGAAATTTGGGAGTTTGACCATGGTCAATATCGGGTCAAGACGACCTCTTTTTAGTGTTTTGAGTACGCGAGCAGGTCTGTAGTGTATTTTATGATTGAAATTCATATATGATTTCTGTCCGGGAGGTTCCGGATGAGTTTCAGGGTAGTTTCGGATCATTTCGGAGAAGTTTGAGTTTGCTGGTTTCTGGTGAGGTAATGTTCATTCGCAATTGCGAACACTGTTCATTGGAAATTACTGTTCACTCGCAACTGCGAACAATTTGTCGCAATTGCGATGATTTTGGATTTTTGTGCGGTTCGCAATTGCGAACAATTTAGCGCAATTGCGAACACTGTTCATAGGAGGTACTGTTCATTCGCAAATACGAAATTTTTGTCCGCAAATGCGAACCTTGACAGAATATTTAAGATCTGAAATCCATTTTTAACGATTTGGAGCTCGGGGAAAGGCGATTTTCGGAAGATTTTGAAGGAAAATATCGGGATAAGTGTTCTTAACTCAATTTTGGTTAAAATACCCGAATCAATTGTTGTTTTTATCCCTAAATTAGTGAATTGCGTTGAAAATAGTAGAAATTTTCATAAACTTTAATTGCGGATTTGGAGGTCAAGTTGATGTCGGAATTTGGTAAAATTTATATAGTTGGACTTGTGGTTGGACGCACGTTCATATTTCATAACTTTTGTCGGATTCCGAGACGTGGGCCCCACTGTCGATTTTTGGGTTGAGTTTCGAATGTTTTTGGAAAATGTAGAATTTTCTTATGGAATTGATTCCTAAAATTTGTGTTGACTGTATCGAATTATTGTGTCGAGGCGTTCGGAGACCGATTCGCGAGGCAAGGGCATATTGGAATAAAGGATTGCACGGTTTGAGGTAAGTACCACTTCTAAACTTGGTTCTGAGGGTATGAATCCCCGAATTTTGTGTTATATCAATTGTTGGAGGTGACGCACATGCTAGGTGACGAGCGTGTGGGCGTGCACCATAGAAATTGTGACTTAAATAAATGATGTAGAGTTGTAAAATTACAGAATCATGTTATTATCCGTGTATCCTCCACGTGTTAGAGAAATTGAGCTGAGGCTCGTATTAAAGATCATGTTTAGGCTACGTATCGATATTTTGGGACCCATAGGGTCATGTTGATGTTGAATTAATTATTTTAAAATATACATTTCATACTCAGTCATGCTCATCCATTGTGAGGATATTTATGGGATCGGGGTTGCCCGCCTGCAGCAGGCCATATCGGCTTTATATATATATTATTATTATTATTATAGGATCGGGTTGCATGCCGCAGCAAGCCTTATAGACTTTATTATTATGGGATCGGGTTACACGTCGCAGCAGGTCTTATAGGCTTTATTGTTCTGGACCGGGGCTGCCCGCCTACAGCAGGCCTTATAGGCTTTATTATTATATGGATCGGGACTGCCCACCTGCAGTATATCATAACGGCTTTATATCACTCTTGGGCTGAAGGAGCCCCTTCAGAGTCTGTACACACCCCAGGTGAGCGTAGATGATTATATATTCGGGATGGACTTCCTAGGGCATAGACTTGCCTTACTTATTTATGTGTTCGGGATGGACTTCCTAGGGCATGGACTTGCTTTACTTATTTATATTGTGATAAATTTTTCTAGACATGGATCTTGTCCGTATCATTTATATTAGGGATAAATTTTTCAGGGCTGGATTGGCCTTATACGATATTGAGTGACTGAATATATANGAGCTCGTCACTACTTTCAGCCGAGAGGTTAGTCTTGTTACTTATTGAGTTGGTTGTACTCATACTACACTCTACACCTCGTGTGCAGATCCACGTGCTTTCAGACATGGTGACNGGGTGCTTACGGATACGACGACTGTTAGATATCAGAGTGCTATCAGTTGGAGACTATCAAGGTAGCTACCTGGAGTCCGCTGACCTTAATTTTCATTCCTTCAGTTATTGTATTGTTCTATACTTTCAGACAGTGTTTTATCAGTCAGACTTTGTATTCATATTAGATGCTCATGTACTCAGTGACACCGGGTTTTGGGAGTGTTTATATCTGTATTTGAGAGATTTCTTCCGCTGAATTTAAATATTATGTTTTCAAATTTAAAAGATATGGTGGTTTATTGAGATTGTCAACTTGCCTAGATTAAGATAGGCACCATCACGACATGTGAGATTTTGGATCGTGACATCAATTCACAAAATTATGGTTGGATATGTGATTATTCTGTGTTAGTTTGTCCATATGTCGATGATATATTAATTACAAGTAACAAATGAATGGCATAATAAGAAAGGAGGAGGTTTCTATCTTTCATATCCGAAATGAAGGATCTTAAGAAGTGAATATCATATGCATCAGGATTAAAAGAAATAGTGCGAGTTATATATTAATTATTTAATCTTATTACATTGTGAAAAACATTGAGAGAATGCTAAATAATTAGTCACTTAAACACAACCGATGCCAATACCCCTTGCCGTTAGTTCCAAGATTGAGTTATCTAAAAATGACGGAAGAGTTGTGGATTGATTATTGTTTGCTAGCGTTACCGGTTCCTAAATCATTCATGAGGAGGTGTAAGAATCTGTTTCCAGGGGCGGATTCAGAATTTCAAGATATTGGGTGAACTATTTTAAATAAGTGGATCTAAAATTTATATTTGACGTCTTTAATTTAGTGTCTTACCATAAATCCACTACATTTTTGAAATTATAGGTTCAAAATTATAATAATCTTAGTGATGTCACGTATATATCTATACTCCGTACTGAAAATAAGACCGTCTGAAGTGGAATTTGAATCGTCAATTTCACTTATAGAGGTGCACTCAATAACTATTTACACCATAGGAGTCTTTA